CCCTACATTTGAACCCTAAAGTTCAAAGTGGGGATCCAGCCTTGACACCTGCTGTCAAGCATCCTCCCGCCAACGCTCAGAAGAGACAGCTGGGCAAGGAGACATGATCGGCTTTTACCACGTGCACGTTCCCACATGCCTGCAAGGAACAAAGCCGAACGCAGTCTGGTACCTGAGAGCCGGGATGAGCTGCCTCTGCTGAAGGGCAGCGGGGCCTGGAAGGCGTAGACGCTGTCGCCCTCCGCGATGGCGTTCAGATCCTCCTCATCGTGGAAGGAGCGCTGGAACCCGCTGGGGGACAGCTCCACCAGGATCACCTGCAGCGCAGGGGAACAGTCAGCGACCCCGGCTCCCTCCCATAAGGGTGTTGAGGAGAAAACTGCCCTGTGGCCACGGTCTCTCCTGCATCTGGAGAGCCTCGAGCTTGCAGAACAACTAAAGGGTCCCGGGGTTGCCAGGGGCCTCCACGCAGCAGCTCAATGCAGCGAACGTGGACATGTCCACGGGGGGTCTCTGGAGCTAAGACATGAGCTGCAGCAGCTGGGAGCCAGGCTGACAGGGCTGGAGCACGCCCGTACCACCTGTGAGACACACTCACCAGGGGGTTCCATTCACGCCCCACCGCCTGGTGCTGCGATGCCATCTGGCGTTTGTGGCACGACACAGTGTGTCCCGGCACCAGAGCGGCTGAGACAAAGCGGGGGGGCCCCTTCCTTGCCATGTGAGCCCTGCCTGGCCGAAGCGGGCATCCCCAGTGCCGCCAGGAGTGTGTTCGGCAGGGCGGGTAGCTGGCCACCTGGCTGCTCCAGGCTTGAGACAGTGGGAGGGAGGGTCTGGTCCCAACTCACCTGATCGGGGGTGATTTTGCCTTCTTCTGCCACCAGTGCCCTGAGGGTTGCCACGGTGCTGAAGAGGGGCACCGCTAAACCTATCCGCAGGAACCGCTGGCTCTTGGACTGGAAGACTAAGGTGACATTCAAGGGCCTGAAAAACAGAGGAGCAGATGGGCTCCAGAAAGCCAGTAAGCAGCTAATGGGGGGCCCTCCCCTTGGACTGTCTGTGCCCCAGGGCACCCGAGCTCTTGTTCCGGCTGGGAATTAGGATACGCCGTGTGTTCCCAAGCCCGTGCAGGCAGTGATGAGCGCAGACAGCTGAGCGCTGACCCGGGAACATACTTCAGCACTGAGTCCCACCGTAAGGGTCACAAACATTCGGGTCTCAGTTCTGCCCTCCGCTGAGCACCTGCCCCTGCTGCTGGAGCATGCAGCCGGGGCAGAATTACCCCATAACATTTAACACCATAGTCTGGTGGTCCGGCTCCTTTAAGGAGCAGTGGGGCTCGGGGCCAGCCATGCCTAGTGCATGACACGGCCCCTTTCAGGAAACAGGAGTTTAAGGGTGCAGCAGACACGCTGGGGACGGGATACACCCCACTTTGGAGAAGGGAAGAGGTGCTGCAAAGCAGGGCCGGAACCCAGTGTTGGTGGACTGGCAACGCAGGCTTCACCCATTGCACAGCCCCAGGCATGAGGGCTAAGGAATCCCTTAACCCAGGGGCAGGGTTTAGGCCTGTGGGCTTTATTAAGACTTAATACCTCGGACCCAGCTAGGGGGATACTGAGGTAGGACCTCTGCGCTGCTATGGACATGTGACTTGGGAGCAGCCAAAAGAAGGTGAGGGCGGTGCGCCCGCAGGGCCACGCCGTGCCATGAGGGGACTGCTCCGGGACAGCACCCAATACACTTTTCCCACATCACAAGCATTTCCCGTTGCTCTATCACTGAGTCAGGCTGCACACAGGGGAGCATCAGACTAGGAATTCTGGCCAACGAAGGGCTATGGGAGGCACCCTATTGTGTAGGTCTGTTTAGGGAAGTGGTTCCCAAACTTGGGCCACCGCTTCTTCAGGAAAAGCCCCTGGCGAGCCAGGCCGATTTGTTTACCTGCCATGTCCGCAGGTTCGGCCGACTGCAGCTCCCCCTGGCTGCGGTTCGCCGCTCTCGGCCAATGGGAGCTGCAGGAAGCGGCACAGGCCGAGGGACATGCTGGCCACCACTTTCCGCAGCCCCCATTAGCCTGGAGTGGCGAACCGCGGCCACTGGGAGCTGCGATTGGCCAAACCTGTGGACGCGGCAGGTAAACAAACCAGTCCGGCCCACCAGGGGCTTTCCCTGAACAAACAGTGCCCCTAATTTGGGAACCACTGGTTTAGGGTGTGGTTTATTACAACCCAGCAGTAGCTCCCACAGCCTGGGCCTCGCTCATGCACTGGCTGTGTGGATGGCAAAGGCCTCCCATCAGGGCAGCCAGCGCTCAATAGCCCTGCTGTATCTGCAGCTGCAGAGCATCCTGGGATAGCACCGGCCCTTGCATGGTAAAGCTAGAACATAGGTAAAATAGCTAGAACAAAGGTAAAACATAGAAATGTGGGGCTGGCAGGGACCGCGGGAGGTCACCTCGTACATTCCCCTGTGCTGAGGTGGGGGAAATAATCCTAGACCATCCCTGACAGGGGTTTGTCCGACCTGCTGTTAAAAACCTCCAGTGGCGGGGATTCCACAACCTCCCTTGGGAGCCTGTTCCAGAGCTTAACTGCCTTTAGAGAGAGAAAGTTTTTTCCTAATATCTGACCTAAACCTCCCTTGCTGCAGATTAAGCCCATTACTGCTTGTCCTTCCTTCAGTGGGCATGGAGAACAATTGATCCCCGTCCTTTCTAGAACAGCCCCTTAGCATATTTGAAGACTGTGATCAGGTCCCCCCTCAGTCTTCTTTTCTCCAGACTAAACATGCCCAGTTGTTTCAACCTTTCTCACAGGTCCGGTTTTTAAAACGTTTTCTCATTTTTGTTGCACCACAGCCCCTCACGCCCCTCAGGCGAGGGTGGAAATGCTGCGGAGGCCCCTCTGCATGGGGTGACTGTTGCCCGGAGTGAGGGGCTGGGTCCTGGTGGGGGTCTGTGCAGGGCAATCTTGGGGCAGTGGGTGCTCCAGAGAAGGAAGCCTGAGAGGAGATGTCAGCCTGTGGGGCATTTCGCTTTGCGTGTGGCTAGAAATAGCCTTGTCACTCGTCTCCTTAGGTGGGAGATCCGTGGCTTGGGGAGGCTGGCAAATGCCTCTTGGAGTTGGGCTGAGACAGCCAGATGCATTTCACTGGGACACTGAGCTGGGTTTGAACCCAGACCTTCAAAGGGGAAATGCCAAAGCAGTCACACACTGTCTCCTGAGCTCCCACGCCTCCTGCAGCTCAGACCCCCAGATTGTCCAGCCCCAATTCCCCCACACCCTGCACTTCCTGAACACCCCATTGCATTACCCAACTTCACCTCTCCCCCCCGCACGCCAAGCTCCCCCCTCAGCTACGCAGCCCCAGGGTCACCGCCAACCCCAAAGGTCACCTAATCCGTCCCCCCTGTCCCAGGAGAGCTCCTCACCCTCTGCCTCCCTCGCCCAAGCCCCAGGCCCTGTCCTTCACTAAGGGAGATGGGGAGCTGGGTGCCCGGACTCCCCATCAGCGCTCCAGGAGCCGACACGGGTAGGAGTCCTACCACATTGCTCTTGGTGCTGTTCCCTTTGCTCTGCCACCCAGCAGAGAGAGACACATGAACTACAGCAGCCAGCCGAGGACTGAGCCGGGCCCATTCCCAGTACGCACTGCTCGCCCCAGGTCAGTGCCTGCCCTCCACCTGCTCCCAGCAGGCTCTGATCTTCAGCGCAGCAAGAGCCGTGGGCTGGGGCAGCCATCCCTCATCGGGAGAATCCCAGCCTCTGAACCGCTTGGTGTCGTTCCCAGCTCTCTGCGGTGCCTCCCCACACAGCCATGCTGCAGCCTCGGGAGTGAGACAACGTGGCCTTAGACCTGTTCTGCAAGGCACTCAGCCCCTCCCAGGCGCAGTGCCTGTCAGTAAGACAAATGCCCTAGGAGTCCATGCAGGCAGCCCCACCTCCTCTGCTCCCCCGGGGGATGTCTGCACTGCACCAGGCGGGAGCCCCTGGGTTGGCCTAGCCCAGAAGTGAGGAGCAGCCCCACTGCAACGCCCTGCCCCAGTTACTGTGTCCTGACCAAACTGCGCTCACCTGTGTGTGTCACTGGGACTTCTGGGGCACGTGCCCTGGTCCTTTGGGCTGCAGCGAGCAGAGCCGCTCTCTGCGTCTTTCTCAGGGGATTGTGGGAGAACCTGCCTGTCCTGGCCCCCCTGTGGAATGGGGGGGCACCAATGGCACTCGAGGGATTTACCCTGGGTCCTCACTGCAAAGTGGGGAGGGGGTTCCCAGCCCCAGTGAAAGCAGCATGTGGGCTCCCACCCACCCCCAGCCAGACCAGCTAGCCCGGGTTGGAAGCATTTCTACACAAGTGAGAGGTGGTTGTGTGACCCTTCATGGCAGCCACTCTGTTAACACCTCACGAGCTGCTGGCGGCTGAGCCAGGACAGCACGGCCTGGATGCTTCACAACACATGCACCAGCGTACGGGCCCTGCCTGAGGCCAAAGCCAGCCAGACCAGGGCTCGCCCAGAACCCCTGAGGCAGGAGCCCTCAGCTGCCAAGCTCCACCCCAAGCCAAAGCGCCCCCAGGTCTCCCCCAGCTTGGCCCGCTCCCTAGGGAATAAAGAAGCCAGGTCGGCTCTTCACTGCAGGCTGGTGCCAGGCATGGAGCGGGTTCCGTGCCCAGGAGGAGGTGACGCTCTGAGCCCTCACTGGCTCTTACCACACATGTTCTTGCAGCCTGCCTTTCGTGCACTTCCCAGCTCTCCCTGTCCCCGGGCTCAGCCCAGCCTGGCAGGCAGGCGAGCTGCTTCTCTCCAGCACGTCCCCTAATTGCAGCACTTACGTTTCATTTAGCCGAGGCGCCGGGCAGGCTGACAATAGCACTGCTGTGCAGAGGCACTCGTGGCA